GGACACCCAACATTCTCTTCTGGCTTCTGTGGGCACCAGGCACATAGTGTTGCATAGACAAACATGTAGGCAAAACACCCATATATATAAAAATAAGTTTTTGTTTGCTACCACCCATTAAAAGAGGAAAAATATTTGTATTTCCTTGAGTCATAATAAAATACCCCTAGGGTACAATGTTAAAAACAACTGTTAGGCAGGGCATGGTGGCACATGTCTTTAATCCTGGCACTCAGGAGGCAGTGCAGGTAGATTTCTACAAATTTGAGGGCAGTCTGGTCTACACAATGAGTTCCAAGTCAGCCAAGGCTACAAAGTGAGATCCTATCACAAAAACAAACAAATGAAAAAAGAAATAATTGTTAGGATGGAGCTAGAGAGATGGCTCATCTGTTAAGAGCACTTGGTTACTAAAACCTACATCATGGCACACAACCATCCATTATCTCCAGTTCTAGGAGATCTGACCCACTCTTCTGACCTCCATGGGCAACAGGCACACATATGGAGTGCATACATAAACACAAGCAAAACACATAAATAAAACCAAAAAAAAAGAAAATTAAAATAATTGTTAGGGGCTGGTGAGATGGCTTAGCGGGTTTAGCTTGTTGTCAAGCATGAGGACCTGAGTTTGTCCTCAGGACTGGTATGATAGGATGAGAGGACCAACTCCTACAGGGAGCAGAGGAGGCCCTGAGTAAAGTTCTACAATGAATGTGTATCATTGACATCGACACAGCCATGCTAAAGGCTCTGATGCCTGAGCCCCACAACAGTGACAAAGCCTGCCCTGGGAAGGCTCAGAGGGACGGCAAAGCTTTTCTTGGGACAGGTCGTGGGAAGGAATCCAAGTGCAATGAAGAAACCAAAATGCACAAAAACTAGCAACCGCAGCTCCCTCCACCTCCTGGAGGTTCACAGCCTGAGATGATTTTCCAAAAGACTCCTCCTACAGACACCTCCAACCCAAGAAAGCTAGCTCCTCCCTTGTGCTGTATATAATATGGTGAGGTTCCAAGTTCTAGTGGTAGATGTCACTTCAGAGGTTTGCACACCCCATCTGACCCCAGCTTTTCTGTACATATCTGTCATTTCCTCAGTGATTGTCCTTTCTTCACTCCCTCATTGTCCCTAGACAGAGTTCCAGGTCCCAAGTGGCATACAGGTTCCGGGACCACAACAAACTTCCTACAAGAAGTCTTCTGATCTCCATATGAGTGCCATGGGCCTCCCTTCCAGATAAATGTTAATAAAAGAAATAATTGTTAGCTGGGGCAGGTGAGCATATACTATAGCACACATGTAAAGGTCACTGGACAACCTGTGGGAGTTAAAGCTTTCCTTCTATCAAGTCAGGTCCTCTGGCTTGGTGGCAGGAGCTTTTACCCATGGAATCACCTCACTGACCCAATGTCTTAATTTTTAAACGTATTTTTGCTTAAAAAGTAAATAAGAAACTTAAGGTTTATGAGGATACTGTAGTGGCCAGCCTCCAAGCTGACCCCAGCATCTTTTCTTTCAGTTTTTGTACTCTTGGTCTGGCTGCCTTCCACACTGCACTGCTCTGTCAGAAGAGATGGCATGGCTTCTGAAATCAAGCTGTGAAAAAGATCACAGTTTCTGTCTAAATATCTCAGCTACTCTGTGGAAAGCCAGCTGGAAAGTCACTGCCAACAGCCATGTGAGTGAGCTTGGAAGCTGATCTTCTGGCACAGGGAAGCCTTCAGATGACTACCACCTGCCCAACATGCTGACGACAACCTCCTAAAACTCCAAAGTCACAACCCCGCCAAGAAGCCCAGATTCTTGACCCTCAGAAATTGTATGACAACATCTTATAACAAGCATACCTAAAGATATAAGAATTTATAATTTGATATATAATGTAGGGTTTAAAGTAAATGGAAGAAAATGAGTTGATCAATCAATTTGCTGGGAAGTGACTAATTGCTTGGGAAAAATAAGGTCTATTGTTCACACTATAAGTATAAAAAATGCCATGTAGATAAAAGATCTAAAAACATTTAAAAATATAAAAATACCAGAGTCGGGAAAAATGGCACACACTTTTATTTAATCCCAGCACTTTGAGCAGACACAAGCAGATATCTATGATTTTGAAGTCAGCCTGGTCTATATAGTAAGTTCAAGGCTAGTCAGAGGTACACAGTGAGAGCCGGACTCAAAACAAAAAGATGAGAGAATATGGGTATGCATGTGTGTATACATGGAAGTGGAGGTTAGAGGTCAATCACTTCTACACCTTACTTTTTGAGATAAGGCCTCTCATTAAAGCTGGGAATCAAACCTGGGACTTCTTGAAGAATAGCCAGTGCTTTCAAAACGGAGCCATTTCTTTAGTCCCCTAGAAAAATTACCGTAGTACTATTGAAAGACTTGGATAAATCCAGATACCTCTAGCAGAAAAAATAGAGCCACAAATCTAGCAGAAAAAATAGAGTCAGTTTATTGGTTGTCTGACTGGATAGCAATCCCTAGATTCTCTTCTCTCCACTAGTGCTAGGATTACAGACCCACAAAGCTACATGTCCAGCTTCTTTTAACCCAGCGTATGGAGACTCAGTTTTCATACTTGCACAGCAAACACTTCACCCATTAGACAAGGCCACCTTCCATTAGATGAGTAAGATCTAGAAGCCATAAATTAAGCGTTAACATATTTGATTACTAAAATATTTTAAACCCACATACAATTTTTAAAAAACTAAAATTGAGTTAAAAGCAAAGAATACATTTAGAGAAAATATGGTTAATATAATCTATAAAGAGCCTGTTTCAAATTAAAAGGGAAAAATCTGCAATTTTAAATCTATATTTTGTTCTAGGGTACATTTCCCCACTATGTAGTTGTCAGTGAAGTCTACAAGGGATTGACCCTGAGTAATCTTAATTGCTGCAGGGATTAAAGGCTCAGATGGCCAAGCCCTACAGCACCTTACCTTGACCACGGGTACTGATGTTTAGTTAGTCTAATACTCAAGTTTTCTGTCTGCAGTTCTAAAACACAAATCATTCCTTTGGCTGTAGTTTTACAAATATTAACAGTGCTACCTAAGGACAAAGTTGATATCAAAAGAAGACAGAACTGAAAATTTTATGAAAAAACAAAAAACAGTTCTAGTCATATTCTATCTAAAACCCACCCACTGATGGTCCAGGAGATAATGAATCCCCAAATTTAATAGAATTTTCTATTATTTGCAACTGAACAGGTTCCTATCTGATATGCAGACCACAAGCAAAAATGAACAAATAAGCAGTTCCCATAAGAAAGTAAAATGCCAGGGCCTTAGAGTACAGCTGAACGCCAGAGCACTTGTCTATTACATACCCTGTGTTTGATCCCCAGCATCAATCAGTCAAATTAAAATAGTCACACTAACAAAAAAAATCCCTATTTTTATATGTGTTTGTATTTCTGTGAGTGTAAGCCACATATGTATGGGTGCCCATGGAAGATAGAAGAAGGTATTCAATTGATTCAAGAGGTGGTTGTGAGCTGCCCGTCATGGGTCCTGGGAATTGAAATTGGATCCTCTTGCCAAGTGCAGCAAGTGTCCTTAACTGCTTAGCCTCTCTCCAGCCCCCGAAAATACCTTTTAAAAATTTGTTTTAAAGCAATCCAGTGGCTAAATTCCATATCCAGCACGGGGGGAAAGATATGCATGTATGTATTGACATGAAAAGATGTTCATAATAGGTATTAAATAAAAACGCTTTAATCCCAGCACTCAAGAGGTAGAGGCAGTTAGATCTCTTTAAGTTTGAGGCCAGTCTGGTCTAAATAGTGGGTTCCAGGACAGTCAGAACTACCTAACAGAGAGACTGTCAAAAAACAAACAAACAAAAAACAAGACAAACAAACAAACAAAAAACCCAGAAAGCTCCCTTCTTTCTTTCCATACCCATTTCAGCCATTTCTTGTTTCCTCTCTCGCAGAATATCGGCTAACTAATGAGTGCTATTTCTGTTTTGAATACTGGGCTTGCCACAAAAAAGAAATTTTATATAATCTTTCTGAGCCAGTCAAGTCACCAAAAGTGCAAATGAATGAGACGTGGGGGTAGTGGGTACTAAACAAAATAGTGCATCGCACCGGAAGCTGACTTTACTTTCTTTTGAAACAAATCCGTTTATTTCAGCATCATCTTTCCAGCACCCAAAACAAACAAAACACCCAAGCGAGGCGACATGAAAAGCTGAGCGCTCAATTAGAAGTAGACTAGGGCTCTCTAGTCTAGTTCTACCACCTGTGGCTACCAGTTAACACACTCTGTTCCAACGGCTGTGGCTACTTTGGTGAGGATGCCCAGACGCCCGCCGTCTCCCCTTCTGGGCTAGAAAACGCCCGTGAACTCCGGGATCACTAAGCAGGCGGAGGATTGTCTCGTCTTCCACACCCGAGGCCCGCACTTAACGACACGTTCTCAATCGCAACAGCCGCGGGACTGCCTCGACAGGTAAAACAGGGGAAACGACAACGCTCTGACACACGCAAACAGTCCGTGAACCTGTGGAGAAGGGCGACACCCCTGCTGCGAGCTACGGGAGAACGCGACCCGCCGCCCGCCAGGAGGCGGTTGGCACTGGAGGCCTGGACTCCGCAGCTTGTCCCGCTCTTGGGACTTCGACCCTCACGGGAAAGGGAAGGGGTCCCGGAGACAGGAGCCGGGAGGGAAGTGGGACCTGCCTGCGGGAAAGTCAGAAGAAAGCCGAATCGCGCGCCAGCCGCACCTCAGAGACCGCGAAGCCTGCCGCTCCCAAGAAGGTCTAGCCCAGAATGACAACCGCCCGCCCTCACCGAGGGGCGGCTCCCGTTCCGCAAGGACCTCTCTCTCCCCGCCCGGGGTCACCGCGGAATTTGAGGGCTGCCCACTGAGCGCCTGACTAGAAAGTCAGACACTCCGCCCCCCTCCTCAGAGGTCCTTGGTCTTCCTTCAGAGAAACCATCCTTTCGGCCGGATTAGTTGGGAGCAAGAGGGAGGGTGAGAGGCCCGGCAACTACTCAGAGTCTGTGTTTTAGTAAGGCAGTACATCGGGCGCCCTGCCGGACAGACTGAGAAAAGAAAAGTCCTCGGCTTCATAGCGCCCCGCTAGAAGAGCTTTCTACTTTCGTCCTCTTCTGCTCAAGATGGTGGCGTCCCGGGCAATTGGCAGTCTCAGTCGCTTCTCTGCCTTCAGGATCCTCCGCTCCAGAGGTGAGCCTGGCTGGGGGCTCGGGAGAGTCCCGGAGTGCCTGCCGGAACCGAGGCGGCGATCACCAGCGTTTGCCCCTCACTGTCTCCTTCCCACGCCTTCCCTTGGACCCCGGGAAACGGGGGTTACTGTCCAGGGACCCCATTTCCTGTGCCCTTGGGAAGGGACTGTCACTTCCTCTCGCCCTTTTGTGGCGGTGTCAGGCTCTCCCTAACTTTCCTGACTCGTTCCCCTTAGTCTGGCACTTTGCGCAGGTCTCTCTGCTGCAGCCCTGCGCTCACGCCCCTCTTGTCTCCTTTGATGATTATGGTCTTGGCGCTGACCCTGTTAGATTGGGAGGATTGAGACCCATTCTGTCGCATCTTTGAGGCTCTGCCGCACCTTGGTCACTTTAGTCAAGCTTCTAGGTAGCATTGACTAGCCTTACAGATCCCTGCCACTCCTGATGTCTATCGTCAAAACCATTTTTGCAGAGAGCTCAACTCTCACACTTCCAATAATCCTGTCGTGAATGTATAGAAGACTGAAAGCAGAGGTTCTCTAACTCAGAGAAAGGAAGATTTTTTTTTAAATACTAGAAAAACTTGATTTTTTTGAGGAACGAAATTGTTAGATTATTTTCTAATCTTGTTTCTGCCGATGCCTAGTCAGGCTCTATGAACTTGCATTCTTCCTCTTCAGACTGGTAGTGAAAGGGTTAAAGGGGTGGCGGTAGAAAACTGCCTGTCCGGAGGCTCCCAAATCCATAATGGCTAATGTAAGTTTAATTTATTGCATATCATACTTGATACCAGTTACTTTGAGACTTTCATTTGTAATATGAATTCGCCTTAATTTATTTTTATCTTACCTCCCGAGACATTTAATTAAGTGAATTAATTGAGTCTTTTTCCATTTTTTTTTTTAAATCACCACAGATCAATTGTGTGTAAACAGTCTAAATCACCACATTACCTAAAGAAAAATGAAATGAGGCCGGGCATGGTGGTTCTCACCTTTAATCTCAGTTTGAGTTTGTGGCCTACCTGGTCTACATGGTGAGTTCCAGGCCAGTCAGGGCTACATAGTGAGATCCTGTCCTAAAAAAAAGAGAGAGAGAGAGAGAGAGAGAGAGAGAGAGAGAGAGAGAGAGAGAGAGAGAGAGAGAGAGAAATGATGTTAAGGTTGAGGAAGGAATTAGGAAAAAAATCTGTTATTTTTACATTTGTTATCTTTCTGTTATGTTATCTCTATGTTTACTTGTGGCCACATTTCCTTACAGTTTATATTTTATCTTTAACTCATTTAAACAGTTTTAGGAAAAACATCATATATGCTCCTCCATTTGTTGTAAGGTATTTTTATGGATTGTCAGCTGCTACAACACTGGAGTGGTGATGGGGTCACATGTTTTCTAGTTACTAGGTAGCTGTCTGACTTTGGCCAGGTGCTTTAATCTAAATGGGCTTTCTCATCTGGAAAATGAATGAGAGTGATTTTTTTTTCTTTGGCAAGAGAAGTAATTTGATGGAGCAATTAAAGGCTTTAAGTATGGACTCTGACTTCTGCGTTAAATCTGTCTTCTACCTTTGGGTAAACTCGGGAATTAATTTCAGTATCTTTTTCTCATTGGTAAAATGGAGTCAATTACATGTTAAGTCTAAAGAAGTTGCATTAGGTATAAAGCAGCTTATCATGGGAATAAGTCTCAATAAATGTTATTGACTTTTTAGCCCTAAGAAGTAATGGTTGCATATAGCTGAGAATTTTTAAAGCGATCTATCCATTTTATGTAGGTGATGAAAAGCTGACATCCGGATTTTCCTATACTTCTACACAGAAACATATGTTAATTTGTAAACTGTATTATGTTTTCGTTAAGAAAGTCTAGTCAGTTATAGCTACAACTTATTTTAATAGCAACTTATACACTTTGAAAAATATGTAGGAAAATCAATTTAAAATTAGCTGCCCACCTGATTTACTATTCAGAGTCTAGACTTTAGTAGTCCTTGACCCTGAGAATGTGTGCGGGCGTTGCCAATTGCCCAATGAACTGTGGCATTACCTGGAAAAAACATAAGCCTTCTATGATAGTTTTAGAACATTCCTGCTGTATAGTACCATCATTCTAGTATGATTATCAAATAAAAAACTCGCAAGTGGACCTTCATATCTAATTTCTACTCCTCCTAATTCCCAAGTATGTAAGTGAGAAGAATTTTACGGGAAACGAAAGGCAGTTAGTAGGTGTTGTGGTATTTTTCAGTCTGGCTCTCACTTATTCATCCCTTGTCCTGGAGTTGGATTTTGGAAAAGCTATTAACTGTCATAAACTAAAGTAACATTTTCAAAGTTGGGTCAGCACAGTCCAACTTTTCCCACTGATTATAGTGTGATCTTGTAGCTATTTTCTTACATATGAAGGTGATTAAAAAGTAGGACAAAGGTTTCACTCTTGCTGGCACTGAAAAATGTAGGCTAAAGTTCACTGTTCGCTGTTAGGCGTGGGGTGAGGCTGGATTCCAGAAGCAAAGTGACCCTGTACTTCGGCTTGATTATATTGACTGTGGTTAGGAAGTTTTTTTTTTATGTTTGTGCATTTAGTGTTCTTTCTCTTTGCTTTTGTCTCTGTTGATTTAGGAGGTTTTGTGTAACTATGTGGAAGTGTGTTTACCCCAAAGAGAGGTTAGTTGGCAAGATTTAAATGGCTTAAACAAGGCTAACGAACACCAACTTACTTATTTATTTACTTATTTAATTGTTTTAGAGACAAGATCTTACTCGGTAGATCTGGCTGGCCTGGAACTCCTAGTCCTCTTAGGCTGCTTCCACACCCAGCTTGCACCATCCACCTCTAAAGCAGTGGAGGGCTGGTGAAGGGCGTGCCTCACCAAGCTTAGTGCTGAGGATTACTGAACCCAGGGACACTTGCTAGAGAAGTACCACTGAGTTACTTCTAGTTCCCAAGGCCACATCCAGTGGTCTTTTATTTGTTTTTCAATATTTATTTTTATTTATGTGTTGGTGTCCATGCGAGCGTATGACATGTGTGTGAATGGCAATGGTGACCAAAAGAGGGCATCAGATCCTCTGCAGCTGGAGTCTTTTAGCCAGCATGGGTGCTGGGCACCAAACTCGGATCCTTTAGGGAAACAAGAGGCATGCTTTCACTAGTTGGCCTGGAAATCACAGTAATCCACCTGCCTCTGCCTCCCCGGTGCACAGTTATAGTAGTCAGAGGTCCTTAATGGGTCTCGGGCCAAGGATAAATAGCTCTGTGGTAGAGTGTTTGCCTAGCATACACTAGGCCTATGTTCAATCCCAAGTGGGAACCAGTATGGGTGTCATTAGGCTCAGGTAGGTGTTGACAGGGCTTCCATTCTTTCCGAAGGCCCTGAGGAAAAGCCATGGCCTTACCTTTTCTAGTTTTCAGAGACAACCTGTGGTCTCAGCTTCTGCTCATCTCCTTCCTTTAGCAACCTGGAGCCAGGACACGCTCACACGTCTCTGATTTTCTTTGGGGTTACCCTAAAGCCATTTAGATAATTCATGATGCTTTCCCTAGATTAAGGTCAATCTTACTTCTATTTGCATGTTAGCCCTTTGCCATGTAACCCAACACATTCACACATTCTAGAGATGTGATGTGTCCTCCTTTTTTTCTTTTTTTCTTTTTTTGGTTGGCGGGGACATCCTCTCCCTACCTTACTTATGATCTGGATAATCATTTGACCTAATAATTAAAATGAGAAAGGTAATGGAGTAGCCACAATAGTGGCCTAGAATACATTGTTCTGATTGGTGTTTTATTGGTGTAAATTCTAGTTTTGCTGACCTGACAGATATTACAGAAATTCTGTTTCACAAAATAATTTTGAAACACTCTTCCCTTGCAGGCTGTATTTGCCGCAGCTTTACAGCATCTTCTGCTTTGCTGAGTAAGTTGACTTTCTTGTTTACATAATGCTGATTTTTATACTTTTCATTTTTTGAAATTAGAATAGAATTGCACCATATCCCCCATTCACTTTCCTCCCTCCAACTTCTCCCACACACCTTTCTTGCTCTCAAATTCATGGTCATTTTTCTTAATTGCTGTATATATGCATATGTGTATATGCACATATATAAATACCTATATAGATATATATATCACTAGATATATATGTGTGTGTATCCCTAAACATATGTGTGTATCCTAATATGTATGTATGTATATATGTTCCTAAATATATGTGTATTTCTTGATATATATATATGTGCATATATGTAAAACAACGAAGAAAAAGAGGCCATGAATTTGAGAGAGCAAGGGGAGTATATGGAAGAGTTGGAGGGAGGAAAGTGAATGGGGATGTATGTGTCCTAAATACAACCTGCTCTGTCCATATAATGGTACTCGTATGTCTATATCTTAACATCACTTTGTAGACGTACTTTGCGATAAGCATGTTTAGAAACTAATTTGTCTTCTCTCTTTTAGCCAGAACCCATATTAATTATGGAGTCAAAGGGGATGTGGCGGTTATTCGGATTAACTCACCCAATTCTAAGGTACCCAAATTTTTTTTAGTTAATTTCTATCAACTACATTTATGAATCCTCTCCTAAATAAAAATGAAATCTGCCTGTCTGGAAGTGGGCCTGTCACATGATTTTAAGGTTTTGTTAGTTATAGGCAGATGTTCCTGTATGAGAATTCCTTCATGAGGCCAGGGGTGGTGGTGCACACCTTTAATCCCAGCCCTGGGAAACAAAGGCAGGCAGATCTCTCTGAAGCCGCAGCCAGCCTGATCTACATAGTGAGTTTCAGGTCAGGTAGAACAGTGAGATTCTGTCTCAAAAAAGAAAAGAAAAGGGAAAAGAAAAAAGAAAAGGAAAAAGAAAAAAATGTCCTTCTTGGTGGTGTTCACCTTTAACACCAACACTGTAGAAGAAGAGGCAGGTGGGTCTCTGTGATTTCTAGACCAGCCAGACCTACTTAGTGAGACCCCGTTTCAAAGACAGACAACACACAAAGAACTCCTTCTTATTGACTCTAGGTGTCAGATTAATATCAAAGATTAATAAAACTAGCCTGTTATTGTATAGGATAAGTATGATAGATTATCCTTGTTGATAAGATTTAATCTACCTATTTTAAACATGAGGTGATTAGGGGCTGGAGAGATGGCTCAGAGGTTAAGAGCATTGCCTTCTCTACCAAAGGTCCTGAGTTCAATTCCCAGCAACCACATGGTGGCTCACAACCATCTGTAATGGGGTCTGGTGCCCTCTTCTGGCCTGCAGGCATACACACAGACAGAATATTGTATACATAATAAATAAATATAAAAAAAAATGAGGTGATTAAATCTACCTTCAGTACCTTCCTGTTGTAGTATTACTCATAGTAGGTTGGCGGGGATACATGTAGACACTTGGCTCTTGAGCTTCCTACAGGGTCTGAATGACTCATGGAGGCCACATGCTAGAAACAGGTTATGTGAAAATGGAACCTGGAGCCGAGTGGTGGTGGCACACGCCTTTAATCCCAGCACTTGGGAGGCAGAAGCAGTTGGATCTTTGTGAGTTTGAGGCCAGTCTGGTTTACAAGAGCTAGTTCCAGAACAGGTTCTAAAGCTACAGAGAAACCCTGTCTCGGGGAAAAAAATACAGGAAAATGGAACCTGATCTTGGCAAATTCAACAGTGTAGACAACAGAACCCTAGTTTTGCCAAGAATATTCTATTGCAGGGGTTCATTTTTTCCCCCATCTCAAATTGGTATAAAGGTGTCTTACTATTTTTTTTTTAATAAAATCTTGCAGCCAGAGCTCTATATGACATAGATGAGATTGAGCCAAGCATGGGGACTGACTCACAGCACCTGAGAGGCACAAATAGGAAGAATTCTAGGTCATCCTCAGCTACAGAGTACAAGGCTAGCCTGGGCTATATAGAACCGTGTAAGAAACAGGAAGACCTACATGAAGCAGGTGGCAGCTCTCACCCATTAGCAGTTATAGGAGCCAGCCTTTCACTTGTGCTGGTCTCATATGGAATAACTTAGGATTCAAACTTAAGATTTTTCCCCTTAATTTTCTGAAGTTGAATATATTTATAAAGTAAAGACCATACTGTGTCTAATTTTGCTTCTTTTTTTTTTATGTTGTATGATTCCCTTCTCCCCCTGGGCCAATAAATATTTGTAGATTTATTTAATTGTACCTGCATCTGATCCAGACTGCTAGGAGTATGACCTCATGATCACTTTTTTAGTTTAGTTTTTTTCAGACAAGGTCTCACTGTGTATCCTGGATAGCCTGGAACCTTCTGTGTCCTAGGTCAGCCTCAGACTTGCGGCAGAATTTAGAAGGAAGCACCCCTATGCCCAGCCAGCAGAGTCCCCTTTTTTCTGTATTGTGTGTACATGACGTACTTGAGGGTGAGAGTGAAATTGAGTCTCTCCTCCCACCTTTACCTGGGATATAATGATCAAACTCGGATGGTTGGGCTTGCATGGCAAGCATGTTTACCCACTGAGCATCTCTCCAGTTCTTGAGACCTGTTTTTAAAGGGAAGGGTACTAGTTGGGTTTCAGAGGGTTTTTGGTCTGTCTGTGTTTTGGTTTTGGTTTCTTCATTTTCTTATTACAATATGTCTGCTGCATGAACATATTTGACAGTGGTAGTATGTCTGTTATACTTCTAGTTTAAACCCTTAGATGTAGCTGTTTCTCTTGTAGGTAAATACATTGAATAAAGAAGTACAATCAGAGTTTGCAGAAGTTATGAATGAAATCTGGGCCAATGACCAAATCAGAAGTGCTGTCCTTATTTCATCAAAGCCCGGCTGCTTTGTCGCAGGTGCAGATATCAAGTAAGTTTATCTTGATTAATTACATATTTCTATCTTTAAAAGAAGATAGAAGTAAATTCTCCAAAAGTTTGTTTTTTGAAGTTGTTTTCCTGAGTTTAATAAAGCTAATGAAATAAAGGAACTTGTTGCTTAAATCATAGATGACAAAATACAGCCTTTCTTACTCGCTAGCCAAGAACAAATGCCCAGTTTTCTTCCATCATACCAGAAAACATTTAAAAATTTGGTGGAAATCCCAATTCGTATAACCACTTTGGAGCACAGTTTGTCACTACTTAGTAAAATGAAAAATACAAGGGCTAGGCTGGTGGATAAAATACCTGCCACTAGGCCAATGACCTGAGTTTGATTCACCCACATAAAAGCTGGGCATGGTGAGTTTGATGGATCGCCTTGTCTCAAAAAATAAGAAGTGAAAAAGCCACCTGAAGTTGGCCTTCACATGTGCCTGCACAGTTGAGCAAACATGCAGATACACACACACAAGGAGTGGGAGGAAACATGTATGTTCCAGCCACATACTCTCATCTAGGTGTATATACTAAAGAAATCTTAGTCTCTATTCATAAGAATCTGTGTGGAAGAATAGTCATTCCTGTGTGTAGGTAGAGATAGTGAAGCCTTTGAAACCAGCTGTAAGTCACTAGGGAAACAGATAGTAAAGACTACAAAACAGCTGAAATAGATTAACTAGATCCAGAACATCACCCTAGAATTGTCTAATCTGTTAGCCAAAATATTTACCAGGTGATGTTAGAGCTTTGTGATCAATGGTTTGTTAAGGAAGCAAAATAAATTGTGTAACATGTTCCATTTTATGAACTCATTGCCAAATATTGATGTATGCTGAGATAAGCATGTAGTGGGTGAAGTGTTATACAAAGTAGGATCCAGTTTCATCTCTCCTTTTGTGTTCTTTTATGTGGCTGCTACAGCATGCTAGCCTCTTGCACAACCCCCCAAGAAGCAACACGAATATCACAGGAAGGACAGAGAATGTTTGAGAAACTTGAAAAGTCCCCAAAGCCCGTTGTAGCAGCCATCAGTGGATCCTGCTTGGGAGGAGGACTTGAGGTATGGATGAATCCCAGAGCTGTATAGATGCTGTCCCACTCACTGGTAGGATGTGCTGCTGTGAACCTTGGGCTATTGTTTCTCCTGCAGGAAAGTCTTCCGAGTAGGATTGGCTTGATTTTAGCTATCAAACATCTGCATGGGGTTAACTCTTAATTTATAACAAGCAGCAAGTGACACAGAGCACGTGAGCCAAGGAGCGCTGTTTCCATTGACAGCTGTGAAGTCTTTCTCATGGCTGCATACCTAGCTCAGACTCAGGGCAAAGATCAGAAGTGGGATCTGTGTTCACGTTCTTAAGTCTGGTTGACCTTCAAAGCATAATAATATATTTAAGTCTCGTGAGAGAGAATTTCTTGTGAATAGTAAAGATGATAAGATTAAAGAGAAGAGATTCTTTTTTGTTTTGTTTTGTTTTTTTTTTTGAGACGGGATCTCACTGTGTAGGCCTGCCTCTGCCTCCAGAGTGCTGGGATCAAAGGTTACCTTCAGGAGAGTTTTAAGGAGAAGAGCGACCTGAAAGGGTTGATAAATCATGACAATGGTAGAAGAGGTAAATGGTACAGTGCCGGATGTCAGCCTAACAAATCATGGTTTATTTTGTGGGACATTCCTGCTTTATAAATAACATTTAGACCTGCCAACCTAGGTGCTAAAACGTTACAGTTACATTTTCTAAATTTTTCTTTCATTTCTCTGAAGCTCGCCTTAGCATGCCAATACAGAGTAGCAACAAAGGACAGAAAAACAGTATTGGGTGTCCCTGAAGTGTTACTGGGACTCTTACCAGGAGCTGGAGGTACCCAGAGACTGCCCAAAATGGTGAGTTTAAAAACACCCAACGCCGTGAACTTGAGCTATACATAAATACCCTTTGGATCTACTCCATCTTCTACAAAATACTCACTGTAAAATTCAGAAGCCAAGTAAGTTAGGAGTATAGAGGATTGTTGAGAGATTTTTTTTCTTCATTCCTGATAGTTTTTCAGTTCTACAGAATTGTTAGTAAAGGATAAAAGTGATAAGCCTTGCTTTTCCAAAACATTAATTTGTTCCTCCTCTCACGGTATCGCCTTAATAGTTTTTCAAAGCCATGGGTCGTAGGTCATAATAAGTATGAGACAGCTTTCTCATAATTCTCTGATTTAGACCATGTTCTTGCTATAGTCAGAGGACCAAAAAAGATCAGTCAGCTTCTGAATTTCTAGGAAAGGAGAAGGAGAGTCATCCCTGGAGGCTGCGGAGGGATTTCCTATCAAAGCAGAGGGCAGAGCCTCGCAGCGCCCAGCACTGTAGACTTCTCAGTGAGAAGGGCACAGTGGAGCAGCTGAGCCTAGAAACTCACACAAGTGCAAATGGGGAAAGGAAGGTTTTGTTTCATTTGGTTGGTTTTGATTTTGATCAAAAGCTTCATCCTGTAGCCTAGACTGGCCTCAAACTCTTGTCTGTCCCTCTGCCTCACCCTCCTGAGTCTGAAATAACACTAATCTAGTTATCAAAATAAATAATACACATTTCTTTGTAAGAATTGTCTAGAAGATGTCTTGACACAAAAAGTTATGTTGAATTTCATTTACTTAGGTTACTAGGAGTTCTTTCATTTTTGTTTTTATGCTTTTTTGTTATTGTTTTTGGTTGCTTGTTTGTTTGTTTTTTTAAGCCAGGGTCTCTTTATGTAGTCCTGACTTCACTATGTAGACCAGGCTGGCCTAGAACTCACAGGTTCTTTTGCCTCTGCCTCCTGAGTACTAGGATTAAATGTGTAAGCCTCCATACCTAGCTGGTTTTGTTTTGTTTGTTGTTGTTGTTGTTGTTGTTGTTTTGTTCTGAATCAGAGTCTTCTCTACAACTCAGACACACCTTGAGTCTACCATTCTCCTGCCTCAGCTTTCCAAGATTATGGAACAAACCATACACTTGGCTAGAGATCAGTTTTCTACAATACTGTATCAGTTGAGCTGCATTGTTAATTCTCAGCATTGCTTTTCTGAAAATTGAACCCATGGTCTTATGCATGCCGAGCAAAGACTACCACTGAGCTACACCCTCAGCCCTAGTTTTAAATACTGTATAAATGATGGAAAACAAATTGAGAATGACAGTCTATAATTTTAGTTCATATAAAATGAATTTTCCACCTCTCCAGTTCCTTATGCTATTGAATTTAAAATATATTATAAAAGCATTTTTTTCTTCAACTGGACATAATCTCAAAACTTAAAAGTGTGTAAGTATATAAAATTTAATTTACTAATAAAAGAACATAAAGCTGTGGTCTACAGAGTTAGTTCTAGGACATCCAGGGCTACACAAAGAAATCCTGTCTTCAAAACAAAACTGGTTTGACTTTTCTCCTTATTTTAGAAAAAAATGATTGTTTATTTGTTTATATTGGGTGTTCATGCACACGTGTGCAAGGTGCACACATGGAGGTCAGAGGATATCTTTCAGGAATCAGTTCTCTCCTGCCAAGAGAGTTCCAGGAATTAAACTCAGGGTGTCAGCCTTGACAGCAAGCATCTTTACCCACTGAGCCCCTCCCAGCCCCACGTTTCTTCAAAAGTTTGCTCACTTATGATTTGTAAACTAACTTCCACCCTCATTTTCCCCCGTGCCCTGGCTCTCACTTGCATGTTAGGTGGGTGTTCCTGCTGCGTTTGACATGATGCTGACTGGTAGAAACATTCGTGCAGACAGAGCAAAGAAAATGGGATTGGTTGACCAGTTGGTGGAACCCCTGGGTAAGTGTTAGAATGACTCAGAATTGGGTCTTATAGAGTTGTTTATTTCCTGAAGGATTTGATCACTTGAATATTAGTTAGGATGAAACTCAAAACTCTTAAGAAGTAACGGTATTTTAGGAGTGACATTTTCTGAGAGCTAATACTAAATCATTTTGTTTTTCTTTTGGTTTTTTGAGACAGGGTTTCTCTGTAGCTTTGGAGTGTGTCCTGGAACTAGCTCTTGTAGCCCAGGCTGGCCTCAGACTTACAGAGATCCGCCTACCTCTGCCTCCCAAGTGCTGGGATTAAAGGCATACGCCACCACTGCCCGGCTAATACTAAATCATTTTAACCACCACCCTGGTTTCTATTTATTTATTGATTATATGGATATCAGGAACATAGGAATCAGTTCAATCATTAGTGTTTAATTATAAATTAGCTGTATTACTCTCCATGTGTAAGCCTCCCTTAGTCCCTGGTGGGAGGGTCTTTGTTTTATTTATTGTTTTTATTTTTGTTTGGAGCATGTGGGATCAAACCAGGGTCTTCTGCACGCTGGGCCAGTACTCTTATCACTGAGCTACATCCCCACCCTGTGTTTTAATAATAATAAGCACAGGAAAGAGCCAACCTCAGAATGTTAATATATGGTATCTACTTATGTGCTACTTTCATGCAATTTCTGCTAGCAGTAGAAACCTCTAAAATGTACATTAATTTCCTGGTATTTCTTAAATATCAGCATTAAGCTATTACTTAAGGCTCAGTGTGGTGGTCCATGCTTGTAATCCAGCATTTAAAGATTGAAACAAATGAATCATGAATTTCAGCCACCTTAGGCCACATAGTGTAGAAAGTTCTAAGCCAGAGCTCATAGTGAGACCATACCTCAAGAAAATAAACAGGAGCTATTGAGATGCCCAGGGACCTGAGTTTAATTTCTAGGATCCACATGGCTAGAATAATTTTAACAAATGGTGCAGAACTTTGGGTATTGGTAGCAGAAGAAAAAAGGCACTGCATGTAAATTCTAACTTAAAGTGAACCACAGACCAGTGTCCAAGAGACAAAGCCAGAACACTTTCAGAAGAGAGCAAAGGAGGAAATCTTTGTGCTTTTTAAATCAGAAAGGTGTTAGATACCAAGCCAGTAGCATGATCCACAAAAATCTCCAAAACACCAAAATAATAAAAATCTCTAGGGGCAGAGAGAGATGGCCTAGCTGGTAAAGATATTTGCCACACAAATCTGGTGACCTGAATTTGATCTTGGAAACAATATAAAGTTTGAAGGAAAGAACAAACTCCACAAAATTATCCTTTGACCACCACGTGGGAGCCATGGCATGTGAGCACATGATACATGTATACAAACACACATACACACAGACAAATTAATGGTGATACTGAGCTAGCTTTTGCCTCTGAAGTAAACTCCACTTAAAGATAACACATTACCCTTTTTACAAATTGTTGGCTTGATTGCCCAAAAAAATTTTTTTTAAGATTTATTTATTTATTTATTGTATATACAACATTCTGCCTCCATGTATGCCCACAGGCCAGAAGAGGGCACCAGATCTCATTATAGATGGCTGTGAGCCACCATGTGGTTGCTGGGAATTGAACTCAGGACCTCTGGAAGAGTAGTCAGTGCTCTTAACCTCTGAGCCATCTCTTCAGTCCCGATCACCTAAAATTTTATAAGTGATTTTTATGCCTGGCAAAGAAAGTTAATGGTGTCATGGCTAATTATGTTTCCTTACAGTATTTGCATGATGTTAGTATCGGGGTAATGCTGGCCTCATAAAATTAGTTGTGGAATATTCCTTTCTCTTGTTTTCTGGAAATTTTTGTATAGAATTGATATTTCTTCTTACTTAATTACCTAACATACTTAACCATAAAGCCATGTATGGGTTTGGAGGATTGTTATTTTTTCTTTTGTTTTGTTTTTTGTTCTGACTAAGATAGTTTTAGGGTTTGTTTCAGGTTTCTTTGTTGTTTGTTTAATTTTTTATTATTTTAGACTTACTTATTTTCTTATGAATGTTTTGCTTGCGTGTATTTCTGTGCACATGTGTGACTGGTACCCACAGGGGTCAGAAGAGAGCAACTGGACTATAATTGTAAACCACTGTGTGGGTGCTAGGACTCAAACCCCATTCCTCTGCAAGAACAGCGAGTGCTCTCAACCGCTGAGCCAGCACTCTAGCCCCTTGTTTTTGTTTTTTGAGGTTTTGTGTGTGTCTGTCTGTCTATGTATGAGTATCCTATCATGTGTGTTCAGGTACCTCTGGGGGCCAGAAGAGGGCGTTGGCTCCCATGAAGCCAGAGTTACACTGGTTGTGAGGGGTCACCTGACTGCTGAGGAAGCCTTGAACAAGCAGACTTTGTGGAGCCTGGCAGAGGAAATGGCATGGAAGTAGGGGAAAGTCTTTAAGATTCTTTTTCTCTTAGTCCAGCTAATGCCCTAAGGCCAAGAGACCTAGGATGGAAAGTATACGGGCTAGGAATGGAAATATGAGTGAGACCATTGCCATCCCAGGAGACCTGTCCTTATCTGTACCTCCCTCGAGGACTGTGGTGCACTGGTGTGGTATAAGGAAGGCAGTGTTTCCCATGCCATCTTCCCAGTGTCACATTCTTACCCTCAGGGAGAACCTCAGCTGGTCATAGTTCTTCACCAGTAGGATGGCCTTCGTTCCTAAAAGGTGTAGGCCACCAGCCGTCCTGTGCTGGTGTTGTTTTTGTGTTTCTGGAGTGGTCTTTCGTGGATGTGCTGCACAATGCTGGCCAAAGCTGGCCCCCTGGGTAGACCTGTTGTTACTGCATGCTCAGCAGCATTCTGCATACGGTCTGGTGACCGTGGCCACCCTGCCAGATTATGATGCTATTGACTTTTCTGGATTCTCTGAGTCTTGGCCATTTTGAAGTTAAAAATTTTGTTCTGGTTTCCCCTTCTCCACTTGGGTCTGTCTCTAGTCAGACAAGACATCTGTAGTAAGCTTTTCCTCTTGAGATCTTGTTCCCGAGTACTTCGGGAGTGTAGACGCCTTTTTACACTGCAGCCGCTTCTTCCCGTGTAGTCATGCAGACTTTCAGTAGAGAATGTGGATGGTGTCTGCTGTCTTCATAGCCCATAAATTCTGTTCTTTGGATTTCTCAGCTTTGCCACTTTTTGTTTGTTTTGGGGTGCTAAGGGTGGAACGAAGCCTCACACATGCTAACCATATACCCCTGAGCTGCACACACAGTCTAATTCCTGCTTCCTACAGGTTCACAAGCTAGCAGGTGCTATAAGTGGGAAGTTAGTTGCTGTTTTAGGGTCACAATTACTGTGATGAAATACACTGACCAAAACCAAGTTGGGGAGGAAAGGGTTTATTTCACCCACAGTTCCATACTCATCATCAGAAGCAGCGAGGACAGGAACTCATTCAGGGCAGGAACCTTGAGGCCGTGGAGGAGTACTGCTTCCTGGCTTGCTCAGCCTCCTTTCTTAGAGATCCCAGAACCACCTGCCCAGAGACAGCACCACCCACAATGGACTGGGCCCTCCCTCATTGATCACTAATTAAGAAAATGTCCTACAGGCTTGCCTACAGCCCCATCTCATGAAGGCATTTTCTTGAGGTTCCCTCCTCCAGATGATTTTCCCTTGTGTTGAGTTGACATAAAACTGTAGCCAACACAGCTGCATATTGTTGCAGCCCCGTTCTGTAGACAAGTACTTTGTGGACCGGAGATCCCGCCACCTTTCTGAACCAGCCATTTGAACCTCTCACTGCTGTCCCATCAGGGAAACTGACTTTGTATTCCTCTTCCTTCTAATCTGTTCTCTGTGACCCCAGAGCTCTGATGTCTTATTTTCCCCCTAGTAGCAGCCTTTGGCTCGAGCCAAGTCAGGTAGCCAGTTAGTCCATGCCCCAAGGTTTATGACACATCAGAGAGCAAGTGACCAATCATGGCCAAAGATAGGCTGTTCCCTTTCCAGAACTTTAGTCCTCAGGTTTCTGCAGCACCTTTACAAATAGTTTACAGCTTACTCGGGTCTTTTATTTTCTTCTAGTTCTGCACTAGGAATACAGGCCACACAAGACCTACCACATCCTGTGGAAGCATAAGACAGACTGACAGTGTTTCTTCTACTTAGAGCTCACTTGTGCACCTTTGTTCACAATTGTGTCCAGAGTTCCCACAGAGCTTAGCACTCCAGTGTGAAAGGAGGGCTGTGTGGGAGGTCTCCTCTGCCTCGGACTGGCCCAAGCTTGATTTACATTCCAGTCCTTGCAATCATTTTGTTGTTGTTATTTTATTCTGTTTTTACAGGACCAGGAATAAAATCTTCAGAGGAAAGGACAATTGAATACCTAGAAGAGGTTGCAATTACTTTTGCCAAAGGCCTGGCTGATCGGAAGGTCTCTGCAAAGCAAAGCAAAGGCCTGATGGACAGTAAGTGTCTTTGTTAGCAGCACACAGCAGGGCTTCTTCCTTCCCTAGCTTTACCTGGGTTCAGAATGAGCCCAGCTGGACTGTGAGAGACGCTGCCTAAAAAGAAAAGAGAGAGGGGTAAATGTATTATCTACGCTGTATGAAGTCAGCCTTAAAGAGCACCACTGTGCCTATGGTCAAATCCTCAACCTGATGCTGACTGTTAAAGCCATTGTTTAAAGGCTTGTTATTTTGGAAGATTTTTAACACTAATACAAAAATGAATTTTAATAGTATAATAAAGCTGCACTCCCCAGAGCAGGCCTTAACCTTAACACGGAACAAGTAACTAAAGCCCGTTAAGACAGCGCATTGTAGAGGCTGACATTTAGGTTGTGTTCCTTCATGTGGCTAGAATACTCCATTGCTGTGGAGTCTGCAGAGCAGATGGACAAGGGAGCCCTGGTTCATGTCGGTGAATAACTACATTTTACCTTACAGAGCTGACGTCATATGCCATGACTATTCCATTTGTCAGACAACAGATTTACAAAACAGTTGAAGAGAAGGTGAAAAAGCAGACCAAAGGCCTTTATCCTGCACCCCTGAAAATAATCGATGTGAGTCTGCCTTGCGTACCCACCTTCTCCATATTTCTTCCTCTTTGGTGAAGCAGTACTCTGTTGTGATTCTAAACAATGTACATCAGTACTTTTTGTTTGTGTTTTACTTCTTGAGAAGGAGTCTAACTGTGTAGCTCTGAGATCAACCTGCCTCTGTCTCCTAAGTGCTAGGATTTTCGTACTGCCAGTACGAAATTCTTGTTTGTTTGTTTGATTTGATTTGATTTGATTTTCAAGACAGAGTTTCTCCATGTAGGCCTGGCTGTCCTGGAACTTTCCTTGTACACCATGCTGGCCTCAAACTCACAAAAGTTCTCCTGCTTCTGCCTCCCAAGTTCTGGGATTAAAAGTGCGCCACTATGCCCAGCTAATGACAAGTTTCTAAAAGACATTCCACTTCTATATTTATTAAGAAGACCTAATGATGTAGAGGCAGCATGAAAAGATGAAGGAAGATAATTAAAAGGTCTTTAAATTTAAAGTACTTTAAATTAATTTTAAAAACTTTAAGACTTAGAGCTTTTCAGACTGGGAAATTCAAGAATGTGTAATCAGAATTGGAAAATGCAGAGCTATATAGAGACCCTGTCTTAAAAACAAACAAAAAAACAGTGTGGTACACATAATCCTAGCATTCTGAGAGGCAGAGGCAGGCAGATCTCCAAATTCAAGACCAGCCTGGTCTACATGGAGAATTATAGGATAGAGAGACTGTCTCAAACAAACAAAACAACCAAAAAAAAAAAAAAAACTGGCGAATGAATCCATTAGAGCACATCTTGAGTAGAAGACAGGAGACTACAAGACATGAAACATGGGCTAGGGTTGGATCTCTGACAGACCCTTTGTCTGGCTTGTAGAAGCCTCTAGATTCAGTCCCCAGCACTGTAGGAAACATAACACATACATCTGCTTTCATCTTAACAGTCTGGGCTGGGGCAATTAAATATGTGTGGTAAGGCCGATAGCCATACAAGATATGAAACAGCAGACAGTAATGCACAGTCATGGAGATGAGGAAGAGACTCTGGGATCCGGCCTGAAAAGGGAGTGCAGAGTAGGTGAAGGGAAAGTCGGGCCAGGCAGGATGGGCAGCATGAGGCTGGTGAAGGAGCATTCAGTGAAACCCACTTTTAACAGTGAACAGTGGGGTGTCTCTAGCAGGGCAGACTGAAGTTAGATTTGAGAAGGTTATCAACAATGAGTCAATGTTAATTGGTCCTGTACTTGGTCAAGGGTCAAAGAGGATTAGAGTGACAAAATGAGCTACTAGTCAGCTACTAGACAGGGTTTCTCTGTGTAGCCCTGGCTGACTTAGAAGTTGCTTTGTAGACCTCAAACTCACAGAGATCCACCTGTGCCTCCCTAGTGCTGGAATTCAAGGGGTGCACCACCACCGCCTGGTCCGAGGGGTCATCTCTTTGTTACATGGGACAGCGCTTACCCCAGATATAAAGTTGAGTTGTACAGAGTTCCGGGTTAGTGTAACTAATAAGATCACACACACACACACACACACACACACACACACACACACACACGGAAAGCACAGAGAAGCAAACAGCACTGTCTTTAGAAAGAATCTAGAGAAATAGCTTGAGGTTCTCTTTCCTCCCTGGTTCAGCAGCAGCAGCCTCAGACACAGGTGCTTCAGTCCAGAGCAGCTGGCATTCCGTTCCTTTCCTGCCCTCACAAAGCTGGATGAGTGCCCTACTCTTGGAAGCCTGATCACACTGCTATTTTATTCAGCATTATTTTACATTAGCCATTCTGTTCCAGCACTAAACAATCACATTTGTGGCTTTTAGGTTGTGAAGGCTGGACTCGAGCAAGGAGATGACGCTGGTTATCTTGCTGAATCACAGGTAAAATTATCTCCAATTTAACTGTAGAAAACTAAAGACCCATAGCTGTGTTTAAAGCTGAAAATGTATATATATATAAACTATACTATATGTAAAAAACAGACTATATAAGAAAGCTCACACTTTTTTTATTCCGGTGGTTATTCTTCTGAGAAATGGGATGGTTTCTACAGATGCTTGAAAGTGCTCAGTAATGAGGGTGTGATGAGAACTAGAGCAGCCAGTCACTTCAGAACCTATCACCAGAATGACTCCAGTCTGCACTCCGGCTGATTTTGTTGTGACAGAATGCATACATTGAGGACTGGGATGTAGGTCAGTGCAAAGCAATTACGTTTGGCAGGTGCAAGGACCTAGATCCAACCCAAGTACCACAGAGAAAAAGGAAAAGGCAAGCACTGATTTACATATATGTGTGTGTATGTATGTATGTATGTATGTATACATATACATATGTATGTATATATATTGCTTACTGAGACTTAGAGATGCAGCATTTTTGATAAATTAGAGAAGAAAACTGTCTTGTACTCAGAAACAAAGAAGCACATGTCGACCAGTATCGCCCCTTTTGCTTTTCTCGAAAGTTAATGGTACGCCAGATTTAAGGGAGTGATGGGTAATTTAAGTTTTATGCAATCATTGAAGAATTTGATAATAGGACAAAAAGTAATCAGAAGAGCTTAGAGAAAGCTCTAGAAAACCATATCTCATGGGTATTTTTAATGCATTCCTCATATTTTAAGCATCATAACCAGGTCCACACACATATGTATGTACAGAGCAGTAGAAGCCTCTGTCTCAGAACTGAGTAACTGTCCTCACTGCATGCAGTCAGTCCTCCAACATCTACACTCCTGCATCCAACTACTGAACAGAAATGTTCAGGAAGGAGGATTGTTGGGATCAAGAGGGGATCACAAGAGAATGGGAGGGGAAAGGGGGCAATGGGTAAATATGATCAATGTATTATATACATATAAAAATTTTAGCAACTAAATATATATAATATTTATCTTGTATTAGGTGTTTTAGATAATCTAGAGTCAACTTGAAATACAGAGGATGTGCATATACTGTATTTTATGTAAAGAACTTGAGGATTTATTTGTGGATCATGACTCTCCTGAGGTCCTGAAACCAGTGTTTACATAGATTCCAAGGAGCGGCTGTACTTGACATTTGTGTGTGTGTGTGTGTGTGTGTGTGTGTGTGTGTGTGTGTGTGTGTATACATACATATATATAAAGTTTTTATATAAAACCACTTATCAAGCCTATTGAATTCATGACATGATGGATGTTACCCATAATTTGAAATCTACTGGTTTACCAAATAGAACATGCTGTCTCAGAATTAAGTATAGAATTTATTCTGTGAACTAAGAGACCATGGATGCAAACCCATGCCAAGCTATCATTCACTATCAATGGAGAAAACAAGACATTCCAGGATAAGAACAAATTTAAACAATACATAGCCACATATTCAGCCCTACAGAAAGTAATAGAAGGAAAATCACAACCCAAGTAATCCAACATTGCCAACACTGCCTACAATAACTCAGGCATCTAGCGACCCTTCACTAGCACAACTCAAAGAAGGGAGACACACAAACTCTACTACCAAAAACAATAAGAATAACCGGAGTAAACAACCACTGGTCATTAATATCACTTAACATTAATGGTCTCAATTCACCTATAAAAAGGCACAGACTAAGAGATTGGATACGAAAACAGGATCCAACATTCTGCTGTTTGCAAGAAACACATCTCAACCACAAAGACAGGCATCTACTCAGAGTAAAGGATTGGGAAAAGGTTTTTCAAGCAAATGGTCCTAAGAAA